GCTGTAATCCACATTTCATGGAGTATGGAACATTCTTTCTACAAACTTTTTTCTAGATTTACATTCCTGGATAAAAGACACATTAAAATGTAAAGTTGGCCAAACATGTCAAAACTATCTCAACATAGAAACTTTTTTTGGCAACTTCCTGAGAATTCTCATGATAATGATATTTGTGGTCTTCAAGAGGTCGGGGGTCAGCCTCATTACAGATGGCGCAGGCTGCAAAACTTCATCTAGTTTTCTGTTTATTTCTTCTGATAAGGCAGTGAGGGGGAGAGACAATCCAGTGCTGGAAATTACCATCAAGCAGACAAAAATATGAAGATCACTTAAAGTGCACCGAATGTGGAATGTCTGATGAGAGCACCAAGCTGGAGATCCTTTCCCACAATCAAATCTCTCATGGTTGCTTAAAATGGACCTGTACGCAAGATGTGAAAATCTGCCATCCTATAGGGAACGTTTAGAAATGTTAATTATGCCTAAGCGATGCCATGAAAGATTTAGTTTTTGTCATGTATTCCCCCTGAAAAATAGGAGTACATCCATGCAAAAAAGCAAAGCAAGCCAAACACATAGTTGTCTTTCAGTCTGTAGGCTGAACGACAAAATAAACGACTTGATTCCTCCATCCACACTAAACATGGTGGATAGACAAACCCTCCCCACCCACTGCCAGCTATGGTATTCTTAAAACTAAAACCAAAAGGAAGGAATGCTAGACCAAATTCATAAAGAGACAAAAAGACAGCCAATATGTTTCAGGTGCAAAATACGCAAAACACGCTCCTACATCAGGGCTACAAGACAAGTGCAAATATGTACGAATAGAAAAAAAAAAAAAAAAAAAGTTATGCAATCAATATCCACAAGACTGAAAAATATCTTACATACAAGAAATGGAGGGTTATTGTCTGGCCTAGGTAAAGTCCAAGTTTGTATCCCAGTAAAATGTTGTTGGGGGGGGGGAGGTGTGTAGTTAAAATTTGCATTACCAAAAAAATAAATAAATAAAAAAAAACTTATTTTAGAATAACATTTGCACTTACATCACATTAGGGTTTCAGTAACATGTATAAATTCTCATCCAGTTTACAGCCAGTTTAAGTCGTCTGTGACAAAACACATTGCGGTGGAGTCTGGAAACACACTGGTGGCAGATTGTGGGTGTTAGTGGACAGTGGTGAGCCAATCCTTGGCGTGGAATGGGGGGCATGAAAGAGGCTGTGGCAAGCTGGATAAGGATATACACTATATTGCCAAAAGTATTGGGCCAGCCCTCCAAATCATTGGATTCAGGTGTTCCAATCCCCTCTGTAGCAATCGTGCGCACAGATATGGAGGCGGACAACCATGTTGCTAAAGATCCTCCATCTTGTGTCATTCTCACTCCAAATCAGTCCGCCCTCCATTTTTGTTGTATGGCATGTGGTCTGTGTGTGTGCTGAGTTCAGGAGTGCATCGGACACAGCTGTATACACTTCATGGTTGTAAACCCAATTAGTTGATGCCATGGTGTCTGGCAGACTCTTGCTCTGAGCTGATCGTAAAGCTATAAACCCGTCAGTCACTGGACTTGAAAGCATTCCGGAATAGCAGTAAAACCTACATCCCGTTTGAAACCACTTTTTTTCATACAATTTCATAACTTTCAGCAGGAAATACGTACAATGAAACAAAGCATATATTCAGACAGGTCAGTTTGATGCGAGTCACCTGATACCTTAATCCCTAGATTACGTCTACCCGAGAGCAGAAAGTGATATCTCTTTAACCGTCACAGGCAGATATGTCATATCTCGTGTCTGGACATTCAGAATATCATTCTGCATATTATTTTACCAGTGGATAGGATGCTACATGTACCTATGGAAGGTTATTGACCATGGTATAACTTGGGAGGGATTTTGGTCCTGGCTAAGGGTCTCCGCCTAAACACCCCTTCCCGAAATGAGGCGATTGGCCCTTGGCTTCAGTAGACGCCCCCTGCTGGAGGACTAGAAAATAGGCTGTCAGGCCTGAGAGAGGTAAGATGAAGAGATTCTCCCGTTTAAAATCGGAACCAACTTTGGGAGAAACGGTACCCTTTTGTTCAGGACACTTGAATCTGCTTAAACCAAGTACTCTGGCAAGTATTCTACCTTTCTAAATCTTCTTTCTGTTATCTATCTCTCTATCATCTATCTATCTATCTATCTATATATATATATATATATATATATATATATATATGCTACATCATATCCAAACTAAGAATCCCTCTCTCTGAAGAGCGCTACTGTGTTTTAAACTTCTTCATACATCTGCCTGCAGTGACAGTGTGTATACAGACGCTTATTCAAACATCATAGTGTTACTGTCATACAAGAACATGCGAGCGCCAAACCTGTAAGCAGCTCATGCACCACAAGGTAACCATAAAACATCTCTAAAACAAATATATAAAACCGAAGAGTGCAGTGCTAAAAATGAATAAACTATCATTAAAAACACATCAATGTGTCATATTATTAAAACTCAATAAAGTGCCCATATAAAAAGTGACATAGTGCAGTTCACAAGGAAGATGGATCCGTAATATGGTGCCATAAAAGTGACAATAGTGAGCACAATAATGTATTGAGATGCACCACTGATTAGAACATATGAAGTCCAAAATGGTCTCAAAACAGGTGATCTGTATATTTCAAGTGGTCATTCAGATGATATGCCAGAAATAGATATTAACCACTTGCCTACCAGGCACTTATACCCCCTTATTTACTAGGACAATTTTCAGCTTTCAGCGCTGCCGCACTTTGATTGACAATTGCGCAGTCATGCAACATTGTACCCATATGAAATTTTGATCATTTTTTTTCTCACAAATAGAGCTTTCTTTTGGTGGTATTTAATCGCCACTGGGCGCTTTACTTTTTGCGCTATAAACAAAAAAATTGCAAAAAATTAAAAAAAAAAATTATTATAAAATTTTTCAAACAGGTAATTTTTCTCCTTCACTGATGTGCGTTGATGAGGCGGCACTGATAGGCAGCACTAAAGGGCACTGATAGGCAGTACTAATTAGGTGGCACGGATAGGCAGCACTAATGAGGTGTCACGGATAGGCGGCACTAATATGCGGCACTGATAGGTGACACTGATGATGGGTACTGATAGACGGCACTGACTGGCATCACTGCTGGGCACTGACTGGCGGCACTGACTGGCACAACCGCTGGGCACTGACTGGCAGCACTGGTGGGTGGCACTGGTGGGCGGGCACTGGTGGGCGGCACTGGTGGGCGGAACTTGTGGGTGGTACTGCTGGGCACCGATCATCAGGGCACTGATCATCAGTGCCCTGATGATCGGTGCCGATCCTCGCTCTGACAACTGCCGGTTCTCGGCAGTACTTTCCTCACGATCTGACAGCGTGAGGAAAGTGCAGCCGAGAACCGGCAATTGAATTTCCCGGTGATCAGCGTGTCATTGGACATGGCTGATCACGTGGTAAAAGGCCGCTGTGATTGGCCTTTTACCACATCACGTGATCAGCTATGTCCGTAGGACACAGCGATCACGGAGATTGCCGGGTGCGCACCCCCTGGGGCGCGCAGGAGAGCGCGCTCTGGGAGGACGTCATATGACGTTTACCCAGAACTGGCCGGCCGCAGTGCAGCCGTCATTCGGCTATCTGTGGTCGGCAACTAGTTAAGACTGCGCACTCACCAGATAGATAATCATAATACACAATTGTATATGATAATGAGCCAGAGGTCCCCTTTAAAAAAGGTTCTCAGCAGCCTGGTCAGGTCCAAGAGATCCCCTTCCTTCAGGTAATCTGCCACACAACAGCCGTCCTCCAGAATGGGCTCTATAGTGGTATTGGCTCATACAGGGCCAGAAAGAAGAAGGATGCCCATAGTGTAGTACTTTTTTAAAAGTATACGTTTATTACAAGTAGTAGTCAATACAACAGAAGGTAAAATGAGCTGTCACTGAACATATAGAGATTCAAAGATGGCTCACCCCTTATGAATACGTGCTATTGCACGAAACGCGTAGAGGAGGAGCTATACGCAATGACGTCACGCTGCCGAGACCACGAGGAGGTCCCGCGGCCATCTTTGAATCTCTATATGGTCAGTTGCAGCTCATTTTACCTTTTGTTGTATTGACTACTACTTGTAATAAAACGTATACTTTAAAAAAAGTACTACACTATGGGCATCCTTCTTTCTGGCCCTGTATGAGTCAATACCACTATAGAGCCCATTCTGGAGGACGGCAGTTGTGTGGCAGATTACCTGGAGGAAGGGGATCTCTTGGACCTGACCAGGCTGCTGAGAACCTTTAAAGGGGACCTCCGGCTGATTATCATATAAAATTGCGTATTATGATTATCTATCTGGTGAGTGCGCAGTCTTAATATCTATTTCTGGCACATCACCTGAATGACCACTTGAAATATGCAGATCACCTGTTTGAGACCATTTTGGACTTCATATGTTCTAACCAGTGGTGCATCTCAATACATTATAGTGCTCACTATTGTCACATTTATGGCACTACATTACAGATCCATCTTCACGTGAACTGCACTGTCACTTTATAGAGTTTTAATAATATGACACATTGATGTGTTTTTCAATGATATCAGTTTATTCATTTTTAGCGCTGCACCCTTCTGTTATATATTTATCATAGTGTTACTGCTAAGATTGGCGAGTTTCCTCTTTCTCTGTACAAAAAAGTGGTGGGTGGCAGTGTGAAGGGTTAATTGCGTAATTAACCTGACCCAGTAACAATCACTCTCAGGCTGCGGCACAGATTGTGGTCCAGTGAGCTGGAAAATCTTTGTGTAGGGTGCAGACGAGCGGGCATTGGCATGTTACGCACGTGACAGCGTGGTTTTAGATTGGCTAGTCCTTCTGTTAGTGAGAAGAGCTGGGGGTCTGACGCCGCGACCGTCACACCCTCCATGGCCACAGGGGTATAAAATCAAGCACCTAGGCATGCAGACTGCTTCTACAAACATTTGTGAAAGAATGGGTCACTCTGAGGAGCTCAGTGAAATCAAGCGTGGTACCGTGATAGGTTGCAACCTGTGCAATAAGTCCATCCGTGATATTACTTTGCTACTAATATTCCACGGTCAACTGTTAGTGGTATGATAAAGTGGAAGCAACTGGGAACAACAGCAACTCAGCTACAAAGTGGTAGGCCACATAGAATGACAGAGCGAGGTCAGCGCATGCTGAAGTGCACAGAGTGCAGAAGTCACCAACTGTCTGCAGAGTCAATAGCTAAAGACCTCCAAACTTCATGTGGCCTTCAGATTAGCACAACAACAGTGTGTAGAGCACTTCATGGAATGGGTTTCCATGGCCGAATAGCTGCATCCAAGCCTTACATCACCAAGTGCAATGCAAAGCGTCGGATTCCGTGGTGTAAAGCACGGAACCACTTTACTCTAGAGCAGTGGATATGTGTTCTCTAGAGTGATGAATCACGTTTCTCTGTCTAGCAATCCAGTGGACATGTCTGGGTTTGGCACTTGCCAGGAGAACGGTACTTGCCTGACTCAGGGGTTGGGCTTGGTCCCTTAGTTCCAGTGAACAGAACTCGTAAGGCATCAGGGTGGAAAAAAGTGCTTTAGCCTATCTTGCAAGAGAGACAAAATGAGAAGGAGAGTGCGAATCTTGTCATTGGTGGAGGTGTTTACGCGTCGGATGATGAGAAGGAAGGAGGAATACCGGACACTGGAGGAATGCTTACTGAATGTGAAGGACTTTGATAGTTTGTAACACTGTTACACTGATTTGGCATTTTTTTTCTTTTTGGTTGCAGTGTTTTATCTTTGTATTACAGAGTAGTTTTTTTTCCCCCCCATTGTCACTGCATTGTAATATTAATCAGTGAAATACACACTCATATACTCCAATCAGACATAACTTTATGACCACTCACCCAATATCGAGTAGGTCCCCTTTTGCTGCCAAAGCAGTCTTCACCCATTGAAACATGGACTCCACTAGACCTCTGAAGGTATGCGGTGGTATCTGGCACCAAGCCGCCAGTAGCAGATCCTTTAAATTGTTAGGTTGGATCTCCATGAATCAGATTTGTTTTTTAAGCACATCCCACAGATGTTCAATTGGATTGAAATTTAGAGAATTTGGAGGCCAAGTGAACGCCTCAAACTCGCTGTGTTCCTTGAACTATCCTTAAACCTTTTTTGCAGTGTGGCAGGGAACATTATTCTGCTGAAAGAGGTCACTGCCATCAGGGAATACCATTTCCACGAAGGGGTGTACTTGGCCACCAACAATGTTTAGGTAGGTGGTGTCAAGTAGCATCCACACAAAGGGCAAGACCAAGGTTTTCCAGCAGAACATTGCCCAAAGCATCACATTGCCTCCGCCAAGTTGCCTTGTTTCCAGCATGTTGCCTTCTTTCCATAATGTATCCCAGTGTCATCTCTTATCCAGGTAAGCGATGCAAACACACCCAGCCATCCACATGATATAAAAGAAAACGTGGTTCATCAGACTAGGCCTCCTTTTTCTATTGCTCTGTAGTCTAGTTCTGATGGTCCCGTGCCCATTGTAGGCACTTTTGGCTGTTGACACGGATCAGCATCGGCTTCCTAACTGGTCTGTGACTACACAATACCCATGTTTACTTGCTACTAAAAACATCCCACTGACTTTCAGATGTCATTTTAACGAGATAAGTAGGGATGCACCGAAATTTCGGTGACCGAAACGTTTTGGCCGAAAACGCCCCTTTCGGCCGAAATGAAAAAGCACCTATGCAGGTGCCGAAAAAAAACCCCAACCCTCACCGCCACCCGTCCCTCGCCACTTAGTAGTTCTCAGTCTTACCTGAGAAACCATCAATCCCGGCATTGAGCATAGAGTTGGGTGAAGGAAAGATGGCCGCCACCCATCTCTATGCCCTTGGATGACCAGAGCGATGTCACTTCCTGTTTCAGCCATTTATTTATTTATTTTTTAAAAGCACTAGATCAATGCTTTTTTTTTTTTTTTTTTTTTTCCCAATTCTTTACATTGCAGAGGAGAGATGTGGGATCTTATTGACCCCATTTCTCTAAATAAAGAGGACCTGTCACTAATTATTTCTATCACAAGGGATGCATGCATTTCTTGTGATAAGAATAAAAGTGATTACATTTTTTTTTTTTAAAGGGACAGTGCAAAAAAAAAAAACCCATTAAAAATAAAAAAGTTTGAAGTGCCCCCGTCCCCTCATGCTCGCACATAGTGGTGAACGCATACATAGGCCATGCCCAAATATGTAAACAGTGTTCAAACCACACATACGAGGTATCGCTACGAACGTTGGAGCAAGAGCAATAATTCTAGCACTAGACCTCCTCTGTAGTTTTACACTGCTAACCTGTAGAAATTTTTAAAGCATCGCCCATGATGATTTTTAAGTAACGCAGTTTCATGCCATTCCACGAGCGTACGCAATTAAAAGCGTCACATGTTGGGTATCTATTTACTCGCCGTAACATCCTCTTTCATATTTTACAAAAAAAATTGTGGTATATATAGGATTTGTTTTTTTTAATCAGTGTATTTTTTTCCAAAAAATATATATTCATTTTTAAAAACTGCACATTTTGGTTTTCGGCCAAGCAAGTTCATTTTGAATTTTCAGTTTCGGCACCAGAATTTTCATTCGGTGCACAACTAATAAGTATTACTCAATTAACCTGTCGGTGGTCATACAGTTGTGGCTGATCTGCATTTTTTTTTTTGCATTAAGGAATGCATCCATCCAGACCAGCTGTCCGTTTATACCAGCTGGTCCTAGTACGCTGCATTCCAATCTGATCCGCCAGACTGAGGGGAGCAGATCCACCTTCAGTTAGTTTTTGCCAGATCAGATCAGAGGTAGCCAAGTGTAACCGAACACAAGTCCTTTTACATCCAGCTACCCATACAGGAGAATGGAGGGTCCGGTCTGCCTGAAAACTGGACAGGCGGGCCTGACCAAACCGCTTGTGTGAAAGGGGCATAAAGGGCATACATGCATACATGCTCAGACCTGAGCTTTTTACTATTAACCTCCCTAGCGGTATTCCCGAGTGTAGCTCGGGGTAAAATTTGAGTACCAAGAGCGGTAACCCCAAGCTACACTCCATCCAGGCTTACCATGCGGCGTTGCTCAGGGGGTCCCTGCAGCACTTACCTTGTCCTTCGCTCCCACGATGTGTCCCCTGCAGCGTCCCTGGCCATCTCCTCCGGCCGATGCCGGCATCTGGCTTCCGTGTTTCGGTCCCTGTGACGTCGGGACGTACGGCGGCCGTAACCGGCGGCAAATTTAAAAAATTTATTTTTTTTGTAAACGAATATTACATAGTAAAACATTGCTGTTTCAAACCATTTCACATACCTTTTGTCCCTACTGCTTTGTCCTGTGCCCTGCCTGCATTTTGACTGTTCTTTCTGCCTGGAAACTTAGAAATGTCCATGGCATCCAAAAAGCGTCCCTTTAGGTCAAAAGCAGTTTTAGACCAGCTAGAGAACAGCGATAGTAAATCAGAACTACTTGCAGAATTGAGTGATAATGATTCGTGGGGAAATTCGTCATCAGACACTGAAAACGATTCTGTGACTTAGCTCAATATTTCAAATTTCAGTGTTTTTGGTTTGATTATATTATTGAATTAAATGTATTATATTATTTTTTATGATTATTTATTAAATTATAATTTATGATTTCGTGTTTCAAGTTTTATCCTACCCGGGATGTTTACTAGACTCTTGTTCGGACAGATTTCAGTGAGTTATTCCTAAAAATTACAGGCCTACAATAAAAAAAAAATACATATTTCCATACAAAATAAATGGTAGGGCTTTCAGCACCAAAAATCTGAAATAATCATACCGCCTGGGAGGTTAATATATTTGAAGACTTTTTTGGGGGTTTGTCCTACTCTTCTGCAATCTGTCCTTCATTTTCCATTTTTGTGGCTTTGATTTCCTTTTTTCCATATTTTAATATATTCTTTGTAACTTTTCAAATGAGGATAGTGTTACTTTTTTATATTTTTCAAAAGCTCTTTTCTTATTATTTATAGCTTCTTTAACCTTGGACATGAGCCACATAGGTTTCATTTGTAGCCTTTTAAACTTCTTGCCCATAGGAATATATTTTGCAGTATGTTTGCATAGAGTCAATCTGAGAGATTCCCATTTCTGTTCTGTGTTTGTTAATGCCAATATTCCCTTACAGTCTAAATCTTGGAGAGCAACCCTCAGCCTTTGAAAATTTGCGCTCTTGTTTTTCATCTTTCCAGCATGTGCTTGATGTTTACAGCTTACATTAAATGAAATAATTTTGGTCACCGATACTCAGAAGTTCCATTACATTATATATTATGGGGCAGCACAGTGGCTAAATGGTTAGCACTCCCGCCTGGCAGTACTAGGGTCGTTGGTTCGAATCCCAAACACAGCACCACCTACCTGGAGTTTGTATATTCTCCCTGTGCCTGCGTGGGATTCCTCGGGGTACTCCAAAGACATGCTGGTAGGTGAATTGGATCCTGTCTAAATTGTCCCTAGTATGTATGTGCGTTAGGGACCTTAGATTGTACGCCCCTTGAGGGTACACAGTTGTGTTCAAAATAATAGCAGTGTGTTGAAAAAAAGTGAATAAAGCTCAAAATCCTTCTAATAGCTTTTATTTCCATACACACAAATGCATTGGGAACACTACACATTCTATTCCAAATCAAAACATGAAGAAAAATAGATCAAATTTGTGTTGTTGTGTTGAAAAGTGAATATTAGACTGTTCAAAAAAATAGCAGTGTTTTCTATTCTTCTTTACAAACTCAAACATTCACTATATAAACTGAAAAATTTTGAAGATTTTGCTTTCCTTTGAATCACTTAATGAATATTTAGTTGTATAAGCACTGTTTCTGAGACCTGCTGTACATCTGTGTTGCATGGAGTCACCCAACTTCTGGCCCCTGTGAACAGGTATTCCAGCCCAGGATGATTGGACTACATTCCGCGGTTCTTCTCTATTTCTTGGTTTTGCCTCAGAAACTGCACTTTTGATGTCACCCCCACAAGTTTTCTATTGGATTAAGATCCGGGGATTGGGCTGGCCACTCCATAACATCAATCTTGTTGGTCTGGAACCAAGATGTTGCACGTTTACTTGTGTGTTTGGGGTTGTTGTCTTGTTGGAACACCCATTTCAAGGGCATTTCCTCTTCAGCATAAGGCAGCATGACCTCTTCAAGTATTCTGATGTATTCAAACTGATCCATGATCCCTGGTATGCGATAAATAGGCCCAACACCGTAGTATGAGAAACATCCCCATATCATGATGCTTGCGCAACCATGCTTCACTGTCTTCACAGTGTACTGTGGCTTGAATTCAGTGTTTGGGGGTCGTCTGACAAACTGTCTCCGGCCACTAGACAAAAACAACAATCTTACTTTCTTCAGTCCACAATATGTTGCGCCATTTCTCTTCAGGCCAGTCAATGTGCTCTTTGGCAAATTGTAACCTCTTCAGCATGTCTTTTTTTCAACAGTGGGACTTTGCGGGGGCTTCTTGCAGATAGCTTGGCTTCACATAGGCGTCTTCTAATTGTAACAGTACTCACAGGTAACTTTAGACCATCTTTGATCTTCCTGGAGCTGATTGTTGGCAGAGTCCTTGCCATTTTGGCTATTCTTCTATCCATTCGAATAGTAGTTTTTCGCTTTCTTCCACGTCTTTCAGGTTTTGGTTGCCATTTTAAAGCATTTGCGATCATTTTAGCTGAGCAGCCTATCATTTCATGTCTGGAACGACCCATTTTCCTCAGAATTTCAGAGAGAAATGCACTGTAACCAGCATGTACAACATTTGCTGCCTTCCTTCCTTAAATAAGGGCAATAATTGCCACCTGTTTTTCAAAGAATGAATGACCTCACTAATAGAACTCCACACTGCTATTATTTTGAACATGCCCCTTTCAATGAGTGATTCAATTACACAGAATCAGCAGCATGCATGTCATGACTGTTGGGTCTGTTGGATTTCTATTACTCTACTACACCTGCTAGTAAATTATTTGCCATGTAGAAATATAATTTCTACCAAAAACAGTGATCGATCAGGTTAGTGATGTCTGACTGCTATTATTTTGAACACGTGTGTGTGTGTGTGTGTGTGTGTGTGTGTGTGTGTGTGTGTGTGTGTGTGTGTGTGTGTGTGTGTGTGTAAAGCGCTGCATAAATTGACGGTGCTATACAAGTACCTGAAATAAATATCGACATTAGGAATAAGTTCTGCAATGTTTGAGATTAACAGGTCCAGCAGAGCATCATATCTAGTTGGGGCTTCTATAAAAATTGTCTTGTAACGGCTTAATTACACTTACAGACATTTGACGAGGAGGCAATATGGTGCCTCCTCGAGCACCTAAAAACCTCAGCACCATGCCACAAGCGCAGGCATTGCACATTGTTGTGGCGTAACCCCATTAAGTTGAATGGTTCGTGTTCAGCAGGTAGTACAAATAAGAAATGCCAGTGGTTTGTAATACTGCAATATACAAAAATAAATATTAACAAACAATATGAACAAAGAGCAATGTAAACATAAAAGGAAAATAAGTGCTGTACATCAACCGGGAAAAAGAATAAGTGTAACTGCTCAAACCTTTTATAATCTTAGACCTTTCTTTACATCAGGTGTCACCATCAGAGTCCCCCTTTGCATCAGGTGTTGCCATCAGAGTCCGCCTTTACATCAGGTGTCCTTATCAGAGTCCCCCTTTACATCAGGTGTCCCCATCACATCACATTGCCCTCTTATATCAGTTGTAACCCCCTTCCCCCTTGTACTCATAGATCTCTCTTATGAATACAGCCTCTCCTTCCTTCCTTCCTCCGGTCATGTGATAAGTTGCATGACAAGGGGTGAGAGGTAGGACACTCTGCCTTCACACCTTAGTGCCGGCTCTCTATCGCCCCCTGCAGGTTGGAGAGAGGAGAAAACCTAATCCTCCCTCTAGCAACTGTCGGCAGTGGCTCCTTGTGACAGAAGTGAAATCACCATACCTCCTAGATGGGCTGCTCTCCTGTAACAGTGACATCCGGGGCTCCCACCCCTGAGGTTGTCACCTCCACATCTTCACCCAACTTAGCAAATTTGTTTGAGGACTCAAACATAGGACTGGCCTTCCTTTTCTGTGAGTCACCATCACTCCCTGTAACTGCAGTAATTCATCTTCCTACATGATATTCCAGATAAAACCTAAATGGCTTTAAAACAAACCCTGCCCCCCTCCTAATACCTATACTAACTAACCTATGTACCTATTATCAGGCGGCTCTGGTCTGGTCATGTGATCCAGATCCCCTGTGTCAGCCAGCAGCTGTTGCACGGATGAATGCCAACAACAGATGGGCCTCATTATATATATGGCACACTGATACTGAGCTACTCTGATGACCAAATTCGAAAAAAAAAGTTGAAAAAATTTAATAGATTATTATATTTTTAGACATACTTTCACCAGTCCCTGATCACCGCCAAACCAGTTATATGGTGACAGTATGTAAACAAAATTGTGGAAAAAAAAACAAAAAAAAAAAAAAAAAAAAAAAAACACATTTTTATTTAACCACTTGCACTCCTGTGGATTTACCCCCCTTCCTGACCAGACCATTTTTTGCATTACAGCGCTGCGTTACTTTAACTGACAATTGCGCGGTCATGCAATGTTACACCTAAATTAAATTTACAGACTTTTTTTCCTCACGAATTGAGCTTTATTTCAGTAGTATTTGATCGCCTGTGCATTTTTAATTTTTTGTGCTATAAAGAAAAAAGAAAGACAATTTTTAGGAAAAAAAAAACAATATTTTGGACTTTTTCTATTAATCGCTAGCCTACAGGGCACTTATACCCCCTTCCTGCCCAGGCCAATTTCCAGGTTTCAGCGCTGTTGCAATTTGAATGACAATTGCGCGGTCATGCAACACTGTACCCATATGAAATTTTTAGCATTTTTTTGTGACAGATAGAGCTTTATTTTGGTGGTATTTAATCACCTCTGGGTTTTCTTTATTTTTTCTTAAACCAAAAACCACTGAAAATTTAAAAAAAAAAAGTTTTTTCTTAGTTTTTGTTATAACATTTTTTAAATAAGTGATTTTTCTCCTTCACTGATGTGTGCTAATGAGGCTGCAGTGATGGGCACTGATGGACACTGATAAGTGGCACTGATGAGCAGTGATGAGGAGGCACTGGTAGGTGGCACTGATGGGCATTTACAGGCATCACTGATAGGCAGCACTCATATATGGCACTGATAGGTGGCACTGACTGGCACTGTTAGGCGGCACTGATGCACACTGATAGGCGGCACTGATTGGCATTGTTGGGTGACACTGAAAAGCAGCTCAGATGGGCACTGATATGTGGCATTGATGTGGCACTGATGGGCACTGGCAAGTGGCATGGATGAGCACTGATGGTGGCGCTGCTGGGGCTACACAGATCATCAGGGCACACCTAACATCAGTGCCCTGATGATCAGTGCAGATGTCCCCTCCGAGGAATGCCGATTACCGCCTTTCCTCTCCTCTGTCAGCGTGACAGCTCGTGGGGAGAGAAATGCCGATAACCGGCATTTCCCTGTTTACATGCGATCAGCTGTGATTGGACACAGCTGATCAAATGACCGAGCCGAGGGACACAGCACATTGCCGATTGCCGGGCTGTGCGCTCCAGGAGCCCCGCATGCGCGGTGAGAATGGGAGGACGTCATATGACGTCCTCCCAGAACGAGAGAACTGCTTTGCGTCCGTCATATTACTATATGGCGGGCGGGAGGCAGTTAAACATGTCCAGTAAAATGGGCTCAATTCACACAACACAGAATTGCACAGGAATGTGTGCGGTTCACAGTGTTAACCTAGTCCCAAGGTTAAGTCTACTTTGTGGTGCAATCCACTCCTGCAGATCTCTTTCATCCTTTTTAGCCTGCATTAAATTGGTAGTAAAGTCCCCCTTGTTTATTTGTACCTTCAGGGAAGCCTAGAAAAATACCTCTCTGTAGGGTCAGTGAATATCTCCTACATGTGCCCCATGGAGGAGATAAATCCAGTAGCGGCTGGTGACACCACTGGTGCTTACTCATTGCACTCTCTATGGATGGCATGCTATCCATAGAAAGAGCTGCGCCACGGCTGTAACTCCAGCACACATTCATATGGCCAGAGCCCACAAACCTGGAATGAAGACCAGGTGAAGATGGAAGCCCTGTCAGTGGTGGGCTTCCTTCTAAGGGAAGTCTTTCCTGATGTTATAATGTGATTATCCTGCAGGGAACATTTTTGTGGCTTACTACTGCTGTAACACCAGAACAGAGCATATTTTTAAGACATTTTGCAAGCTTTCTGCAAGTGTATCAAGCCCAGGCATTTATTTCCAGGTCTTGGCAAAGGGAAGAAGAGCAGTTCTAGATGTGGGGAGGAGGTTTTCATTCGTCCATGACTATGCTCAAATTTGAATGGGGGCTAGTGTGACCTAGAACTGTTCTGCCATTATTGTATACTTGTGGCCCACTGTGAACTGAGCAAAACTCGCAACCTTTAGTCCTCATGCACACTGGATGTTTTTACAGCTGCTGTTTTTGGCTTTTGATTTTTTTTTCTACAGCTAGTAAACTCCGCAGCATGTTATCCTATGTGTCCATGCACACAGGACCGTAATCAGTGTTTTTTGGCTGGAAAAAAACTCCAAGACTAGTCGGTTTATATAGGATTTTTGTAGCTGTAAAAAAACGCTGCAAAATGTGGTAAAAACGCCACAAACCGGCATATTTGGACTTTTTTTGACCAAAAAAAAAAAAAAAAAAAAAAAACTCAAATGCGAAAAGACGCTGCTAAATGCAAAACCGCTAAAAAGACTCACATTTTTAACGTGACTTTACACAGCTAACATTACCAGCATTATCAAATTATAGCAGTCATTATCCCAGTAAGTGCCCGCTCACACCAGTGCCATCTGCAAATTGAAATCGCATCTAATGAATGTGAATGTCAGTATCTTAACCTTTGCGATTTGCTGCAGCGCATTTTCTACAGTAGTTCTTGCATTACTTTTTCTGCAGTTTTGGTGTGTTTTCACCTATATAGAATATATGAATATACGGTACATAGGAATCACACTGCAAATTACAAGAAATCATTGAAAATCTTCACAAGTAGCTATAAAGTCTTCAGAAATTGCACACAAATGGCAGCGGTGTGACTGGTGACTTATAATATAAATATTACTTACAGCAAATGTAAAATGTTACTTACAGGTCAGAAGACTCCTTTTCTCTCAACTGCTGTCTGTGATCTCAATCCCAATGTGAGCTGAACAGATCGTTATAGAACACCTGGGAACAGGGAACCACACCGCTTAATTAGCAGACTGGAGAAAGGAAAGAAATTGCCTGTTGAAGGTCTCACTCACATGGGGTATACTAAAGAGTGCGCCCATGGAGGGCCATGTTTACCTATATAGGTATACATAGCTCCCAACTGTCCCTGATTTAAATGGACTCATTTGGAACAAAGTACCTCCGTTTCTCATTCCAGTCTGATTTTATTTATTTCAGGTACTTATATAGCACTGTCAATTTACACAGCGCTTTACATATATATTGTACATTCACATCAGACCCTGACCTTCAAGAAGCGTACAATCTAAGGTCCCTAACTCACATTCATTCATACACATACTAGGGCCAATTTAGACAGGAGCCAATTAACCTACCAGCATGTCTTGTGGGAGGAAACCAGTGTTTTACAGTGCTAAATCTTTCATCCAGTTTCTAAATTGTTGCCTTAGTAAACTGCAAAAACCAATAAAAAGGAATAGTAGTGGTAAAAATACACTTGTCGGTTTACCATAACCTTTTTTTTTTTTTTTTGTACAATTCTCTTGCCTACCGGGCACTTTTACCCTCTTCCTGCCCAGGCCAATTTTCAGCTTTCAGTGCTGTCGCACTTTGAATGACAATTGCGCAGTCATGTGACATTGTACCCATATTAAATTTTTATCTTTTTTTTCACACAAATAGAGCTTTCTTTTTTTGGTGTGTAATCACCAGGTTTTTTTTAATTTTTTACACTATAAACAAAAAAAGAGCACAAAATTTAAAAGAACAAGTTTTTCTATTGTAAAATTTTTCAAACAGGTAATTTTTCTCCTTCACTGATGTGCATTGATGAGGCTGCACTGATAGGCAGCACTGATGAGGTGGCATGGTAGGCAGCACTGATGGGCTGAGCTGATGAGGAGGCACTGATGATGCTGCACTGATATGCAGCAATGATGGGCACTGACTGGCAGCACTGCTGGGCACTGATCATCAGTCCCATTCGCCGGTTATCGGCAGTACTCTCCTCACACTGTGACAGCATGAGGAAAGTGCTGCTGATAACTGGAAACTGTATTTTCATGGTGATCTGCTGTGTCATTGGACACAGCACCACACCGGGTGTGCGCCACTGAGGGCGTGTTCTGGAAGGACGTCATATGACACCCTCCCAGAATTGGACAACCGCGCTGTAGCCGTATTTCGGCTATAGCGCGGTTGTGAAGTGGTTACAGTGGGGCGTGACAGGGGGTGTGTCCTATGCCTACATACAATTGCTAGTAGGTGTCCCTTATTCCCATCTCAGGAAAGTTGGGAGGTATGGGTATACACAGGTGTTCCATGTATCCCCATACAGGCAGTCCTACTGAAGTCAATTGGAACACAGGGGCTTCAAGCACACAGCCACTGCTCCCAATATGACCTCTATGCGGGTGCACAGCCCCAAATGCAGCCGATGTGTGTTTCTAGGGTTCAATATTGAGTTGGCCCACCCTTTGCAGCCATAACAGCTTCAACTCTCCTGGGAAGGCTGTCCACAAGGTTTAGGAGTGTCTATGGGAATGTTTGACCATTCTTCGAGAAGAGCATTTGTGAGGTCAGGTACTGATGTCAGATGAGAAGGCCTGGCTCACAGTCTCCGATCTAATTCATCCCAAAGGTGTTCTATCGGGTTGAGGTCAGGGCTCAGTGCAGGCCAGTCACGCTCCTCCACCCCAAACTCACTCATCCATGTCTTTATGGACCTTGCTTTGAGCACTGGTGTGCAGTCATGTTGGAAAAGGAAGGGGCCATCCCCAAACTGTTCCTACAAAGTTGGGAGCATGAAATTGTCCAAAATGTCTTTGTATGCTGACACCTTAAGAGTTCCCATCACTGAAACTAAGTGGCCAAGCCCAACCCCTGAAAAAAAATTCCACACCCTAATCCCCCCTCCAACAAACTTTACACTTGGCACAATGCAGTCAGGCAAGTACCATTCTCCTGGTAACCACCAAACACAGACATGTCAATTGGATTGCCAGAGAAGTGTGATTCGTCACTCCAGAGAACACATCTCCACTGCTCTGGAGTCCAGTGGTGGCGTACTTTACACCACTCATCTGCATCCGACGCTTTGCATTGCACTTGGTGATGTAAGGCTTGGATGCAGCTGCTCAGCCATGAAAACCCATTTCATGAAGCTCTCTATACACTGTTGTTGTGCTAATATGAAGGCCTCACAAAGTTTGAAGGTCTTTAGCTATTGAATCTGCAGTCAGTTGGTGACTTCTGTGAACTGTGCCTTCCAGCATGCCCTGACCCCACTCTGTCATTTTACGTGGCCTACCACTTGGTGGCTGAGCTGCTGTTGTTCCCAGTTGCTTCTACTTTGTTCTAATACCACTAACAGTTGACCGTGGAATATTTAGTAGCAAGGAAATGTCACGGATGGACTTATTGCACAGGTGGCAACCTATCACGGTACCACGCTTGGAGTCACTGAGCTCCTGAGAGCGACCCATTCTTTCACAAATGTTTGAAGAAGCAGTCTGCATGCCTAGGTGCTTGATTTTATACACCTGAATCCAATGATGTGAAGGGGTGTCCCAATACTTTTGGCAATATAGTGTATGCTGTACAGGGTTGATTTACTAAAACTGGAATGTGCAAAATCTGGTGCAGCTGTACATGGTAGCCAGTCAGCTTCTGACTACAGTTTGTTCAGGTAGGCCTTGGAAAAAAAAAAAAAAAAAAAAACCCTGGAAGCTGATTGGTTTCTATGCAGATCTGCACCAAATTTTACACTCTTCCGTTTTTGGCCTGTTTCACACCTATGCGTTTTTGGTGATTTTAGCTTTTGGCAGAAATGCACTGCAGTTCATTTAACACGATTTCCTATGGGACACATTCACATCTATGTTTTTTTCAGCCACTGCCTTTTTGGAAAGGGATAGGGACTTTTTTAAACACAAAACGGTGCGTTTTTTGGTTCAATAGACTTCAATGGAGATGATGAAGTGCGTTTTTGATGTGTTTGAGAAGCATTTTACGTTGTCCAAAAAAAGCATAAAAAATGCATGAAAAACGTGTCAAACACATCTGTGCAAAAACACAGAAATGGATCAAAAGAAAACTGCATAGGTGTGAACATAAATCAACCCCACACTGATGGAAGATGGAGGTCTTTGTGTGACCTGGCAGCGACGGCCGTGAATTTTTTTGGAAAAAAATAAAGTTAAACCCAAGCACAAAACATCTCCCCCCCCCCAAAAAAAAATTGAGGGACCCCCACATATACGCACATGCAAAATTCACTGAAATGTTACATTTCCTAAACCTTTGCAATAATATCATGTGATATGAAAAATTGGAACTACCACTATTTTATTCTCTAGGGTGTCTGCTTTCAGAAAATATATCATGTTTGGGAATTTTGTGTAATCTTCATATCTCTCTCCCCTGTCTCTCTTTCTCTCAATCTCGTAACTATGCAAAAGTGACAGCGTTTTGTGGAAACGCAGAGCAGTCCATTTAACATGATTTCCTACGGGACACGTTCATATCTCAACGTTTTCACCTGGTGCGTTTTTTGGAAAGAGTCACAGACTTTTTGGAAACGCAAAACGTTGCGTTTTTGGTTCTACAGATTTCAATGGAGACGCTGCAGAAAAGCATGTAGTGTGTTTTTTGCTGCATTTTGATCTGCCTAGCAACAAGAAATGTGCAAAAACGCAAAATGCATCGCAAAATGCACTGCAGAAACGAAAAACGCAAACTGCATAGGTGTGAACCTAGCCTAAATCAGTGCTGTTTGTTTTTGGACCATATTAGTGTAGCTGTCAGGACATAAGAGCATTATGGGTCTGGTGCTGAGGATTTTGCTGGGCCGTCTTATGGAAATAATAAAATGAAAATGTGAACAATTTTTTGTTAAAAGCAAATTTAATCAAATAGAGAGGGGGTGAGGGGGGCGTGAGAGAGATAGGGGTGAGATAAAGCGAGGGGGTGAGAGAGTGAGGAGGGTGCGAGAGAGGGCAGGTGATGAGAGAAAGAGAGGGAGGTGGTGAGGGGGGTAAGAGGGCAGAGTGAAAGAATGGGGGGGCGAGAGAATAGGGGGGGGTGAGAGACACTGGGTTTGAGAGAGGGGAGTGAGAAAGAGGGGGTAAGAGAGAGGTGAGAGAATGGGGGGTGAGAAACAGAGGGTGAGATTGGGGGTAAGTGAGAGAGAGGGTGACAGTGGGGGTAAGTGATAGAGGGGGAGGTGAGAGAGACAGGGGGGAAGATAGGGAGAGAGGGGGGGAAGAAGAAGAAAGAGAGAGAGGGGGGGAGCGAGAAGGGAGGGAGAGAGAGGGCGGAAGAGAGGGGGAGGAAAGAGACACAGAGAGGGAGGAAAGGAACAGAGAGAGAGAAGGGGGTGGAAGAGACAGAGAGAGAGGGGGGGACGATAGAGGGAGGGGGGAAAGGAACAGAGAGAGAGAGAAAGGGGTGGAACAGACAGAGAGAGAGAGAGAGGGAAGAAGGGGGGGCAGACAGAGAGAGAGAGGAGGGGAAAAGACAGAGAGGGGGGGGAGAGGGAGGGGGAAGAGACAGATAGAGAGAGGAGGAGAAGAGACAGATAGAGGAAAAGGGGAAGAGACAGATAGAGAGAGAGGGGAGAAGAGACAGAGAGGAGGGGAGAAGAAGAGAGAGGGGAGGGGAGAAGAGAGAGAGGGGGGAGGGGAGAGAGAGAGAGGGGAGGGGAGAGGGGGGGGAGAGAGAGAGGAGAAAGAGGGGAGGAAAGAGAGGGGAGGAGAGAGAGGGGAACAGAGAGAGTGAGAGATGGGAAGAGAGGGGGGGGGGGTGAGAAAAGAGGGGGGTAAAAAAGGGAAAGGGGGGTGAGAGAGACTAACCCCCCCCTCCCAGTATGCTTTCTAGGAGCTTCTGCTGACAAATGGTCTGCCTTGTATCATCTTAATACTCAGCACCTCCCCTATCACTCAGCACACCTAGTGCTGGAGAAGGTGGAGGGCGACACTCAGGTCCGGCCTCTTCAGCCAGAGATAGCCTATCAGGAGGCTGCAAAGTAGAATCCCCGCCCATATTCTCTCCTAGAAGCAGCACTCAGCTAAAGGTGGTGGGCAGAGTTTGCCAACTACAAAGGAAGTGTGGGAGGCAGAGTGGGGTGCATAACTGGCCTAATTTTCGCCCGCCCTGCACCCCATTAGTGCCTATGGGCTTGTTCACACTTGACTAAATTTCTAACTCTTACCAAACGCTCCTATAGCTTTAGTATAGGTGTTAGACTGGCATTAATGAGCTTTAGACTGGCTTTTTACAAGCATTAAAAACGCTCCCCAAACGCCCTATGTGCAGTTTTGAAGCATTTTATAAGCATTTGACAAGTGGTAAAACCACACCACAATCTAAATGAACTGTAATGTTTTTACCGCTCCACAACCGCACCACAAATGCCTCGCAGACACCTGCTAGTGCGCTTGAGGAGCATCACCATAGACTTGAATGGGAGGCGTTGTAAGGCTTCAAACTCCTCCAGACTCGACATGAGGCTTCAATTTTCATGCTTTGATAATGTGAACAGCACTGTGTGTAGCCCATAATATCATTTTCATAGGCGTTTGAGGAGCATTAAAAAACGCCCCTCAAACGCCTGCTTTCAAAGTCGGTGTGAACTAGGCCTAACTTCCGCTCGCCCTGCACCCCATTAGTGCCTAAATTCTGCCCGCCCTGCGCCCCATTAGCGCCTAACGTCTGCCCACCCTGTGCCCCATTAGCAAGTGCTTTCTACAGCTTCTCTGACTGTAGCCAACTAGCAGTTAGAGAAGTCTTGTGACTTCAGCAGAGCACTGGTTAAAGCTTGTAGGAGGAGTTTTCATTGTGCTCTAGGAGGAAGTGGGGCCCCTGACCTCTGTGTGGACAGTGCTAATTGGCCCTGTGCTAATCACATGCACTCTCCCAAAGAAAAAAAAACCTGTCTAGCCACACACACAAAACTCAGAGATACTGGAAGAAGGGGAGGATCAGAGAAGTCAGGATCAAACAGCCTTTTTACACAATGCAGAGGATTAACCTCTTAGGTTGCACAGTGAGTATAACAAGCATGCTTTACTGACTGATTTTGCTGTTGTG